TCGAATTATTTTTGTAACCAGGTGGGATTGTCTTTGTCACTAACTTCATCGTGTAGCCAGGTTTCCGTTAAAACAATAACATGTGGGGAGTGCGTCAAAAGAACCGATTCTAATTGATTAGTTTTATTCACTATACTGCGTGCGTTAATGTTCAGTAATCTGACAAGCCTTTCCTTGACTTGTCAAGTAGAATGTACATTGGCACGAAAACCAGAAGTTATCTCACGTTGGTTTGTTGTTTCACTCCAGATGAATACATCATTATCAATCTGTAGCTTATCGTGCTGAACTGAAACTTTCTTTCCGAGTGATTTGGGAATAGTCATTCTGAACAAAAATGTTTGATCCCTTCAGCTTTGAAACATTCTTAAAAATCGCTACTTTCTCATTATAATCCTGTAGAAACATGATTACTGGTCGTTTAGATCCAGTCCTTCCAAGTCTGTGAATACGGCCAATAGAGATGCACTTAACACCTAGCCTATTTTTGAGTGTTTCAGTAATAATTTTACGCTTCAGATCAGTTTCTGTCTTGTTTGGCTCTTCAAGGATACCATGAATAACTACGTTTGAGCGCCTACTTCTGTCTTCGATATTGATGAGTTGGCTAGCGTGATTTTTCACAGACTCCTGAAACGTTTTTACCGAGTTTTCAAGACAACCTAAGCCAGCTATATTAGATTTCAGGTCCGAGACGTAAACCTGAAGCTGCTTAAACAACTCTCTCGTCTCAGCTATCATATTTTCTGTTTTAGTTTTCAAGTGGACTAATTCATTTTGTAGCAGATTCTGATTATCAAGAATTTTGTGCAATAATTCAGCGTTAGTGGGTCCCGGATTTTCTTCAACATCACTACTAAGTAACAGTTTTAGTGCACAAAAACACTTAACAAATTTCACAACACTGTCGTGGGCACGGCAGAACTAGCAAGAAACGACAGTCGCTAGTAAACGTAGAAGAGCTAGAACAAACCTGCAAAAAGCAGAACGGCTTGGTGAGTGACATACTTCGGCCAGGCGGACCGTTACCTCTGGCAGCAAGCGCATCGCTGGGCTGCTGAAGTGTCGCAAAAGCTCGTTTACTTGCCCATGAGATGGTGCTAAGCACCAAAGGGTGTGGTATTGTGCCACTATTCTTTCACACTAGCTTTCATCGTGTCTTATTGTTCGTCCCTCTTTCTGGCCGAGTGTTTCTTCTCGCGAGCAAGATAAGCGGGGAGTGCAGGCAAATCAAGTAGGTTCTTTCTGCCGCTGGCATAGCCAGGTTTACCTGTTATGTCATGCTCAGGATACTGAAATAGCTGGAGAGAAGCATGTGTTTTTACTCTATGATAGCACGCAGTGCTGCCACGCTCGATACTGTTGATGGTCACAGCAACTCAACACATGTTTGCTTGAAATAAATAAAATATTGCGATGTGCTTCAGGTTTGACCTTTGAGTCAATGGACTCTCAGTGTGCCTGTTAAAGAACCCCAGGTGGTCGAAATTTCCGGTGTCCCCCACTACGACATCTGTTATAATCATATGGAGGTTTCGGGATGTTAAAAGTCACATATAAATCAATGGACTATCAGTTAAACGGCTTTCCTAACACCTGTATGTCATGGCAATCATAAACACGTTTGGTTAACATGGCTATGTCAGAATGGTGCCAGTCTTTTGCTCGCATTCACTCCTTGACCAGGAGTGGTTCAGAAGTGGGATAGGCCTCCTCTTCCTCTTAGCCTTCGCTCTGCACAATGGTGGCCCCTCCAGCAGCAGCCACTGACGGTATTCAACTTAATCCTTACCTGTCATTTTATGATATTGGAACTCAACAAACGAAAACTCTGCTGTATCGCAGGCCAGAAAAATTTGTTAGTTGTTCGGCCTCTCTGAAGAGCAGACTCAAGGCTATGAGATAGGGAAGAAAAGGTCTGATGCCCATTTTGTGGCCGCAAAAACTATAGTATGTGGAAGCACAAATTTCCATTGCTCGAAGCAAAAACCCATACAAAGTGTGGAGAACATTATGACAGCCCTGCATGAGCTTGCTGGCAGCTGCTATGAATTTGCAGAATACCGGGAGCATCTATTTGCAACAAATTTGTTGTCGAGCTTGAAGACACACAACTGTAAGAAGTGCTCCTGATAGATTCCACCCTAACGCTAGCAATTGGCCTGACAAAGGCCAGGCTAAGAAACAGTGTTCACCAATAGCGGCTAGATTTGTGGGTTGTCAACACCAAGGTAATCACAGGTGATTTTGACCCGATGCAGTGGACATCGAGGAAATTTTCCTGCTCCTGGGAGGGTGGCACCACCAAACAGCTATGGCGGTCATCGTGCCAGTATTACCTTTCCAAAATCAAACTTATTTCCCCCGATTTATAATCTGTGCTTTCAGAGCTTATTAACACAGCATTTCGCTCTGGCGTTTTTCCTACTATTCTTAAAACAAGGAAAGGTAACCTTTGTATTTAAAAAGGGAGACCGAAAAGTTTTCTATAATTATCGCCCAATAACAATCCTCCCATTTTTAGCAAGGTTATTGAGAAGCTCATTGTTGATCGCCGTATGGACTACCTAACAAAATTAAATCTTCTGTCACGTAAGCAGTTTGGTGTTCGTGCTAAGCTGTCTACCGAATTATCACTGATAAAACTAACTGAAAGCATAGTACAGTTTATCGATAAAGGTGTATGGGCAGGAGCAGTATTTATTGACTTTACTAGGGCGTTTGATACCATTAACCACTCAATCTTGCTTGCCGAACTTGAATCCATGGGAATTTATGGGCCTACTTTAGCTCTTCTACAAAACTACCTCGCTAACAGGACCCATGTTGTGAACTGCTGCGGCGTTTTATCCTCTCCAATAACAACTAACCAGGGAGCGCCACAAGGCTCAATTTTGGGACCTCTTTTGTTTCTCATCTACATTAATGACTTACAATTATCGCTCACCTTTTCTGACTGCATCCTTTATGCTGACGATACTACAATATTTTCCAGTGACAAAGATCTCCCCAATCTCCTATCAATATTAAACACAGATGTTGGTAATCTTGTTTCATGGTGCAATAACTGGTGCAATAACAACTTATTGAAAATCAACGCTATTAAAACAGCTTTAGTGTTATTTCACTCTCATAAATAAAGCGTGACAATAAATCCGGAAATATACGTAGGTAACTGCATCATTACACCATCAAAGTTCATTACTTTTCTAGGTGTAACATTAGATCCTCACGTTAAATTTAACTTTCATATAAACTCTGTCATCAAGAAGACTGCTTTGGCATTCGCATACTCATTTGCTCTAGACATTCTTATCAGCAACACATTCTCAAATCACTGTACTATGCATTTATTCACAGTCGCCTTGATTACTGCATTTCATCCTGGGCCAACGCGTACACCACTCATCTGGCATCCATCATTCACTTTCAGAAAAGAGCAGTCCGTATCATCACTCATAGTTCATACACTGCATCAGCAGCACCCATCTTTAGCGCTCTTGAAATTTTACTTATCACATACACTTTTCAGCTCAAACTTGGTGTTTTATAATTCAGGAGTAGAACAGGTGACATTCTAATTGACATACTTTCCCTAACACATCTTCATAAAATAACACACGCTTATCTGAAAATATTAACCTCCTGTTTCCAAAAGTAAACACAAGCTACGGTAAAATGACAACATTGTTTACTGTAATTTCATTTTGGAATTCACTTCCATCAACTATTAAATAAAGCCCTTCATCGCATTATTTCCGGCGTCAACTCAAACAATTTTTACTAACCACACTCATTACCTGATAGTATTTGTGCATTTATATGTGTATTGGTTTATATATATTTATATTTATGTATGTGTATATGCTCACTATGTATGTATATTCCTTGATAAATATTTAAAGAAGTGCTAGTTTGTTATTTTGAAATAATTTCTTTTTTTCTTTAGTTGTCAATGCTTGTTTACGTTATTTGTGCTTGTTTCAACAGGAGGTCCCCCTGACAGTTTCCACTTTGGGACCTCCTTCTGTATTATTCGGATTTTTTCTTTTGTGTTGTATTGTATTACTGTATTGAATAAATATAAATCATTAAAAAAATAATCTCAGAGGCAGTGGTGATGGTTCGAGTATTAAATATGCACATTTTCGAGCAACACAAGAGCCTGGTGCCCCGCATGGTCAGCGGGGTGTTAAATCAACAGACATTTCCATTCAGTGACCCATTTCTCTAGCGGATGCGTTAAGAGAAGAGAGAAAACAGTAAAAATACCATACTACTTAGCATGTTTCACTGCTGTACACAATGGTGACATCATGATTTTGTTCGTCTTATTTGACTGCGTTTGTTTATCACCAGCTTTACGGAGAGCAACAGGTTCTTGTTGCATTTTGTGTTAATTGTCACATTAACATTGGAGAATTGAAAATTTCAGAGAAGTAAATGGCGACTGCGAGGAATGATGTGGAAATGCATGTAGCCTGCACAAACTAAGTCGAAGCTGTGAGTCACACAAACACATGCGGGGTAGAAGACGAAAAGACAACAACTTATTGGGGCATTTCTGTTCAATACAGCTGTAAGTTTTCCTCTGCATTGCAACAAAAGCATCATGATGTTTGAAAATGGCTGGTATATAAGATTATTTGATTTGTCAGAGTTTTAAATAATCGGCTTTGACTGTAGCACCAAGCAAGCTAAAAGTAACAACACTGCAGGTCTAGCAGGCAATCTTAAAGGTCTTCAGAAATATGTCCTCATAGCACACTTTGCCAAGTCAATTGAATCCTTCAAGTTGACTTTGTCTCTCTCGGCATTTGTCTGTTAAGAATCCTAGAATAAGATAGGTTATAGCTTTTCTGGGTAGTGAAACCAAAAACTTGTGTCATGGTGCATGCTGTGTGTGGGTATTGTTGGTCTTGCTTCATATTAGTATGGACACAGTATTTTGTTTTGCACTAGCATGCCAACAAACGCTGTGTGTCGTGTTCACAATGCAGGTTGTCACACCAGCTTTGTTTCGCTGAGCAAGGGCCAGTGCTGGCAAGAGATGCCAACGTGGTGGATGCCGAGGAAGCGTACAGCCTTGACGACCCTCGTAATGCCATGAATGAGAGGCGCCGCAAGCGGCCACATCACGAACACAGTGGCAGTAGACACCACAAACGACACAGATAGACTCTTTGTTTAGTACTCATACTCCTATGCAGTGGTCATCTCCTCCAATGACCACCGTTAACTGGTTGATAATCATGATACCAGCGTGACGAAAATACAGCTTACTGCAGCATCTTCTGTGAAGGCGGTTCTGTGACTTCATGCCACTTGTAGTGATGCTTTGCCATGTTGTAGAACCTTGAGGAGCATTTTTGTATGCTTAGCTGGTGAGCCACACTCCTTTTCAGATGGTGGTGATAGGACATGCTTGTCCCATCTGTGTCACCTTACATTGTCCTGTGATCACCAACTAGTTTTAAATTCTGCTTTTCTGTTGACAGGCACTGAAGTGAATCGTATCTTTTGTTTGTTTGTGCATACTTTAGCCTTAAAGAAGTAGGATTATTGTGGGACCCTTGTATAACAAAGTGCAGCAATAAATGGTAGTTACATCAGTAGTTGTTGGTTATAGATTCACCCTTAAAATTGTGTGTTAAGTGATGCTTGCGGTGTACTCGCTACTGACGTCTGCGGTGAGCTCACACCGTCCAATTGTAGTGCGGAACCGCCGCGTGGAGCCAATCATCCCTGGCTACTTGCCTGTAGCATGGCTCTCGCCCTCGCATACCAGGCCGTCTGCAGTCTAACACATAAGCACGTTCTTTATGCATTCTTCACTTTGGATTGTGTTCGAATGCAGCAAGTAGTCAGTTCATTCAAAAGGAACAAGACATGCATTTTGCAAGCAGCACGCAAGTGGCCTTGCACGACATGGTGGCGATGAACTTACGAACATGACGCGCTCGTATCGCTGTCGCTCCACACAGTTTAAACATGTGCAGCCAAGTAGATGTCTGCAGATAACTGTGGTAAGGTTGTCGGAGAAGAGCCTAGTGATACAATCATCACGACCTCGCCTTCGCTCTTTTTTCATGCTTAACCATTAAGGCACCATCACAATCACAGGGAAGCCATTATCATAGATTGACCAGTCTCTGCCGTTATCGAAAAGCACATGTGGGAGATCTTTTGTGGCATATTGTGGCATCGGTGAGTTGAACATCGCAGTGAAGTTTTATGCGACAAAAAGTTGTTTGTTCTGCCATTCATGGCGTCTTGTGTTTGAAGGCATTGTTCGGGCCAGTGTCGACGATAGATGCAGAGAACGGAAAACAGAAAGGTTTGCGCATGCGGTATTCGCCACGGTCTACCATATATCTTCATTATGAGTGAACTGCAGCAGGACGTGCGCAAGTGCGTGCCTCTCACATGCTTTAGAATGCCTGTTTTAACTTTGTCACTTTGTACCTGCCATTTTTTTACCGCGACCGTGGCAAAAGTGTTCGTTGAAAAAGTAGAAGGCTTTAAAGAATTTACAGTATATGTGAACGCAGTTTCAATAGGAAAATTGTAAATGCACCTAAATATAATCATTATAACCGATAGATCATTATAAGGGGATTCCACTGTATACAATGTTGAATGTAACAAAAACAACAAAAATGAAAGTACGGTAAATGAAACACAAAAGCCCTTACAATATTAACAATATTGAATTTTAATTACACACTTGCTTTGAACAAGCGCACTGCAGGCCCATAACGAGGGGGTGGTGGTGCCCTAGGGGCTCTGCCTCACCCCCATCCCCATGAAATGCTAATGTAGTGGTGTTTTACCAAAAATAAGTAAACTTGTGTTTTTCTAAAATAGTCAGTCTTTAGAAAGAAAATCCCCCCCCCCCCCCCCCTCTTAAGGACATTTCTGGCTATGGGCCTGGTGCACTGTCGGAGTCACTCAACGGGCTCGAATGAATGACCACAGCCAGGTACTACGCAGTGTTTCCACTCCTGCACCAAATTGCACCGCATGGTATTTACTGTGTCATCATGATAAAAGCGGCATAAAATCAGCCAAACTGCTTCAAACAGTCCCTGATGCAGTTATACCAACCACTACACCTGTAGTGCATCAAAACAAGTATAACCACATCTTATCTTAATTAGATGCTGAACTGAAATTGTAAAAAAATGACAAAAAAAAACGAAATTCTACATGATTGGATATATTTACTGACATGCTTTGGGCGCAAAATAACACACACAAAGTAAAGAAACACTAAACGACAAGCACAATCAGCACTTACTAAAGTAGACTGGGTGCAAATCCAGACTTAAGTAACAACATAGAGACATGCACAGTCTTCACACAGCCTTACGCTATCCAGCTATCGCACAATCTCTTCTCCGATAAGTGCAGCGTCACCGACGATTCGCTGATACAACTTTCACCTTTCTTCTTAATGTAATCTGCTTCCATTAACTCACGTGCAGTTTTATGCCTACTTCTACGTGGAATCTTAACCTCGTTAAAACGTGGTGCACACTTGCAGTCTTTACAATGCATAGGCAAATGCGCCAAGCCATCTTTCATTAAATTTAATTCATGCTCCCTAACCCATTCATTGATGCAGCCCCTGGTAGTCCCAATGTACGAGTTGCCACAAGAAAAGGGAATCTCATAAACAACGCCCTTGGCACATTTTCCGTACATCGTACCATGTTTCTTGCCGCATCCCAGACGGCTCGCCTCCAACCCCCGGGCAGTTTTCGGGCACAACTGACCCAGTTTTACGGGCGTGGAAAAGGTGACAGGAACACTGGCTCAGCTGTGCCCAAGAACTACTCGGGGGGGTGGAGGCGAGCCGTCAGGGATGCAGCAAGAAACATGGCACGATGTACGGAAAATGTGCCAAAGGCGTTGTTTATGAGATTCCCTTTTCTTGTGGCAACTCGTACATCGGGACTACCGGACGCTGCATTAATGAACGGGTTAGGAAGCATGAATTAAATTTAATGAAAGATGGTTGGCGCATTTGCCTATGCATTGTAAAGCCTGCGGGTGTGCACCACGTTTTAACGAGGTTAAGATTCTACGTAGAAGTAGGCATAAAACTGCGCGAGTTAATGGAAGCATATTACATTAAAAAGAAAGTTGTATCAGCGAACTGTCAGTGACGTTGTACTTATCGTAGAAGAGATTGTTCGATAGCTGGACAGCGTAAGGCTGTGTGAAGACTGCGCATGTCTGTATGTTGTTACATAAGTCTGGATTTGCACCCAGTCTACTTTAGTAGGAAGTGCCGCTTGTGCTTGTCGTCTAGTGTTTCTTTACTTTGTGTGTGTTATTTTGCGGCCAAAGCATGTCAGTAAGCAAGCACCAACTAGGCCAACTATCAGTATTGTCACATTGGATATATTGTTTGAATGTAGCCAGCAGACTGCACGCCTGTGTGAACCGTCATGCAGGCGTGTTCCTGTCCTTTTCTCCACCTCTCCTTTACACCCCACCACCCTTTTCACAAAGGCTTCCCCACTCTTTAGTGGCTTTACAGTACCTGCGAGCACTGTTCACTGCCAGTGCGATTTACACTGGCTCCAGGAACCGTAGTGAGGGTGGGGCGAGCTGAGACACGCGGTTGGCATTGTTGACGCACCCGTTTCCAGTGGTGTTAATGTCGCCTTCTCTGTTCATGGCATGTCCATCGGATGTGGCAGTTTGTGAAAAGCATACTAAATTCATTATTTTCTGCTAGTTTCTGTCCAAAATGAAAGTTACATCTACCAATCTCGGCACCTAATTGATCACTTTGGCTGAAGATGTCAGCGGCAAAAAATTTTGTTTACCGGATTACAAGCATTGACTAATAATTCAGGAAACTAAATGGTTCTCATGCATGCACCCGGATTAAGTCACAGTACCATGCACATCGTCAATACAACTTCTCTTGTACAAGTTGGCTTTACAAAAAATGCACCCTTTGCAAAAATGCACGTCAAGGGCACCTTGTGTCATTAGAGTGGTGGCGATTCATGGGCTGACATAATTTCTGTAAACGCTGCTGGTAGCTTGTTTCAAGTGCAGCACGGTTATGTAATTAATTCAATATGCACTAATACTTCTGGGATGCTAGAATGTCTTTCACTTTTGCTTATGGACATAGCCAAAAGATATCTCTAAAAAGTAATAAATACATGACATCAAACATATTGTGTTGCACCAGTATAAGAGCATGTTGACAGTGGGAACATGCTCATTATAATGATCCTTACGTATCCTTTCTCCTTTTTTGTAATTGGTCATCCTCAAGCACTGTTTTTCCCTTCCTTGTACAGGCATATCTGCAGGTGTCTCCTGCTTGCAGTGTCCGTGCCTACGCTAAATATCTATTTTAAAAGCTGTCTGAGCTTGTGAATGCAGAAGTTCTTTCTAGCTTTTTTAAAATGCTAGCGAATCAGTAAAAATTTCTCGTTTGGTAAGGTTTGCCACATTTAATTTAGTATGCACAGTTGTAACAAGCGGGAACATTTTTGATGGCCCACTGTCAGCTACTTTGTTACTTATCCGCTAAACTTACAGGGATGCAACAGCTGCGCCAATTTAATACAGTTCCCCATTTTTGCGCCGAGCTGTGCAAAAAACCATGAAATTACTGCGCCAATGTACCCGACCAGCCTCAAAATTTTCTCAGTCGCGCTAACTTCAGCGAGAAATGTGGCCACATTGGCCATTGCTACTTTCCATTCATAGAGTTAATATTTCAGTGCACTAGGGCAGTGGGCTCACTGCCCTATCTCTGCGCTGCACCTCCATGGCCCTCCCCACGTCGACAGATCGGGCGCCCGCCAGGGTCGCTGCCATCCGTTTCTCCTGTAAACTTCTCTTGCTGTGTGTGTGAAGCGCGTCCCTGCGGTTTCGCTGGTTACGGTGCAGTTTGGGGAGTATTAAACACTGTGTACAAGGCTGGGAGAGGGCCTCGACAATGACTCAAGCGATAAATATATGTGGACATACAGAAGGGCATGGGATCCTGAATTTTATTATCTTTAAAATTTTTAAACTGGCCCAAGTAGTTGCTGCTGTTTCTATTCGTGTGTGCCCAGCTGCAGCGCATGTTCACGCCAGTCATTCATTTGAAGGTGCTTTGTCGGTATCACACGTGCCACTTTGTTGCGCTTGTGAATGCTAGTTCTCTGAAGGATTCGCATCTGTGTCTATCCGCAAATTGCACCTGTCTCAAGAATGACCTGCCGCTGCATGTGGTTGGGAAGGACACGCTTTTTCTATTCTCCGACGGTTACGCACACAAAGCATGCCACGTGCATGCAGGTATTGATTGATTGATTGATATGAAGGGTTTAACGTCCCAAAACCACCATATAATTAAGAGAGACGCCCCCGCCGTGGTGGTCTAGTGGCTAAGGTACTCAGCTGCTGACCCACAGGTCGTGGGATCGAATCCCGGCTACGACGGCTGCATTTTCGATAGAGGCGGAAATGCTGTAGGCCTGCGTGCTCCGATTTGGGTATACGTTAAAGAACCCCAGGTGGTCGAAATTTCCAAAGCCCTCTACTACGATGTCTCTCATAATCATATGGTAGCTTTGGGGCGTTAAACCTCACATATCATCATCATCAAGTGTGCACATGCAGGCCAGTAAAGCTCTAAGAGAAAGAAAAAAAGAAATGTGCAAAGCGGCAACAGCTAGCACGACCTAAGTGCCCATGAGCTCCGCTCTCTCTTTAGCGTTGTGCCTCTAGTGCGAAGTACACTCATTCTTTTTTTAAAGGGTGAAACTCCTCAAGCCCTAGCCTCGTCTTCCGTTGTGATCATGGTAGACATTGCAGTAGTCCAAACATGCGAGACACAAAAGCAGGTTTTAAAATAGACTTCAACGTGGATAGTCTTATTATCAGGTAACAGTTCCTGGCAACAATAACCTATTGAGAAGAGTATTGATGAGAATATGCCTAGTTGACGAAGCTTCTCAAGAAAGCCTGTAATATAAAGGCAGACATCCAGAACTATAGGTCCTAAGAAATTACCGAAATGGCGTGGATTCACTTTTGAGACATATGCTCCACTCCAGCAGTTTTCTTCAGTCTCTTCATCTTCAGGATACCCCACAGAGCTTCACCCACTCATCATGATTCCTTCCGCGGAGATGAGTGTTTATTTTTACTTTAGCCATCTTCCAGGACGAAATAAAGGTTTCTGTTAAGAGATTTGTTGAATAATGCAGTAAGGTAATGAGAGGCCCATTGCTAATAAAGCAGTAAAAGGTAGTATAGAATATCACCTCAGCTAGTGAATTTTTTTAATGTCGAACTTAAGAATCGTATTAACGGGACCATAAGCACTAACTGTGACAGTGGGAATGCAATACTCTGAATCATTAAAAATTGGATATTTATACATGGGCTTGCATGACAGGGTGAAAATATTCATTGAGTGAATCTGCAATATTCAGTAGGTTATTTACTATTTCACCATTCATAATTAAATGAATTAGAAATTGGTACAGCAGAATGCCAAACCTTTTTAGTTATGCTTAGCACCAAAGAAAAAAAAACCTTTCGCCAGAAAAGTTCCTATTCAGTAGATGTGAATCTAGGAATTGCAATGGGGCCGTCCGTTACTGCATTAAAACACAGCAAAGCTTTTCTCAACCATTTGGTTGCCACATTAGGAAAAATGTAGCTGCAAAGTTCGTCTTCATGAATGTGCAATCAATAGGACTCGTGTGAACTCGCAAGGTATGCAGCCCATTTTAAGTACACCACTAAGATGACTTAAGTGTCGATGTGCCTGCCATATCTTTCTTTGCATCACAGTGAATAATGCGACGTATCATGTGTGGTCACAGCTGCTCTTTGCTATACAATGCAGGCGGAAATGCAATAAAGCAGGGGTCAGTAACCTGTGGCTGTGCTGCCCCGCCAAAATGTCAGACTGATCACTTCCTACCTGAACCAACATGGCAGTTTTGACTTTTACATCAGTATTGTCCTCCATTTTAGCATAATTTCTTCACTACCTCTCTTTGCATACTAGGTTAGGGAAGGACGCTCACCCAAGAATTTTCAAGTCAATCATTGCCCCTTCAACATAATCGTTCTCCGTTTGGCCCCAGCCATGTCGACCAAGGGCACTTGGCCATCCACCTCAAAAGATTGCCAACCCCAACAATAAAAAATTGCTAGTCAGGGCTGTCTGTCATGGTAACTACATCCATGCCGACCTGCCAAATTAAACACTCTTCTTGTCTAAATCTATTTCACACCTAAATTACACAACCTGTGAGCACATTGCAGAACAGCTTTCGAGTCTGCTAGTGCAGAAAGCTGTCTGTCTAAATCTATTTCACACCTAAATTACACAACATGTGAGCACATTGCAGAACAGCTTTCGAGTCTGCTAGTGCAGAAAGCTGTCACGTAGAATTCACTGTAGATACTCTAATGGTAAACAGCTTGAAGTAGACCCGCTGTTTTCACGTTAACCAACTGTGAGCACTAAAACAAAGTAGTTTATTAAGGAGTGTCGGTGTAGTAGCGCTTCTTCAGGGTACGGTATTTCTTGAGCATGTAGAGGGCCTCGAGCTCCTTGATGATATACTGTCCTCTGGCAAGCAGCATGGTCAACTGCTCAGGGTCCTTGACATCGCGGTTCTTGAGGAACGCAGCCTTCAGTCGACTCCGGAAGTAGTCGTAGCCCTTCGGGTAGTCACGCCCAAGGTGCAGCAGCTGTGGGCAGCCGCACAAATATCAATCACTGCACAGCAGGCACTAATGGCTCAGCAAGTAAGCCCCATTTAAATTACAAACCAAGCTTAATTATACGAAAAAAAAGGAAAAACTTGACTGTAAGCAACACAATGTACCTCCCAGTGTGTATCAGCCATCATGGAGAGACCACTATGCTCCCAGCTTCATTTGACTTTTTTTTTTAACACCACACGATATTCTGTTACATGGAGTGTTTGATCATTTCTTATGAGAAATAGCAATACCCTTGAGCAAACCGGTTATCTGCAACTCAGAGTCCTATGGGAGGCCCTACCATGTGAGCTAGCACATAGCATCATGAGTGAAAATTATCTACAGCTTCACTGAACATGGAAAATCAGTTCTGTGTAAGCTTGTAAGGCAAAGAGAAGTACATGAAAAAGCTGCCTAACAAGGAAGCAGAGCGAGGGCAAATTAACGAATAACTTGAAAGCACATGTGGGAGAAACTAATAATTCCTAGCAGCTTCGTGCTGCAAATGAGTGTATCACAATTTCTCACTTAAAGGTAATCTCTATCATTTTTCATTGCCTTTCTATTTATTTATTTATTTATTTATTTTATTCATTTAATGCATACTGCAGACCTTCACAGGTCTAAGCAGGTGGGCACGGTACAAGTAGCAAGTACATGTTAGGCACTCAAGTCACATAGAAAAGGAAAAAGGAAAGAATTCAACATACAAATACAGGTTTACACACCCAACACACAGTTTACACACAGTAAATCAACCAAAGTGAATCTTTATACAGAGTTTTTTAGAAGGTTCCATTCTTCCACTGTTCGTGGAAAAAAAGAAAATTTAAATGCATCTGTCCGTGCAAAATAAGGTGTTAGGGTTCCGGGGTGATGGTGTCTCGTATGCCTTGTCGATATGGGTGTCAGGTACTGTGTAGGGTCTAGTGCTGTTTGTCTTTGAAGAAGTTGGGAAAGAAAATTAAGTCTAAATGTCTTCCGTCGTGACTCAAGGAGTTCAATGCCATTAGCTCTAATTAACTCGGAAGGTGAATCAGTGTGACGAAACTTAGAGTATGTATACCTTACAGCTTTCCTTTGGATTCTTTCTAGTTTGTTGACGTTTTTCTGTGTGAACGGGTCCCATATTATGCATGCATATTCTAACTTTGGTCGGATTATTGATTGGTAGGCCAGGAGTTTGAGCGTTTTTTAATTTGTGTCGTAAGAAAGACAGTTCACGGAAGGCGGAGCGGAGATATTGTCAATATGTCGATTCCAAGATAAATTACTTGTGAGTGTTACTCCTAAATATTTGAACTCAGAAACTTGCGGTAGAGGTGACTCATTTAATGTATGAGTATACTGAAGTGGATTTTTCTTCCGGGTTATACGCATGCATACAGTTTTATCTAAGTTCAAAGCCATCCCCCAGCGATTGCACCATTGAAAAACATTAAACAAACTGTGATTAAGGTCATGTTGATTTTCCGGGCAAGTAATTTCATTATATAAGACACAATCGTCTGCGAACAGACGAATTTGCACAGATGAACATACCACACTTACAATGTCATTTATATACAGCAGGAACAGTAGGGGTCCCAAGACACTCCCCTGCGGTACTCCAGAGGCGACAGGAAGACAACCCGATCGCTGATCCCCAATTTCTACGTACTGAATTCGGTTTTTTAAATAATCAATAACCCAGAAAACTAAGATGCGAGGAAGATCAATATTGTTCAATTTTAGTATTAGTCTGTCATGAGGAACCCTATCAAATGCTTTACTAAAATCCAAGAATATCGCATCAGTTTGACCGTTCTTATCTAGAGTAGATGCAAAGGAATGAGACATAGTGAGCAGTTGAGTCACAGTTGAAAACCCTTTTCTGAAACCATGTTGAGAATCAGTTAAGACAGCATTTTTTTAAAGATATTCGGTGATATGATGCGCGATTATATGCTCAATTAATTTACAGCATGCTGATGTTAAGGATATTGGACGATAACTTTCAAAAAGCAAGCGGTTACCTTTTTTAAATATCGGTGCAACTCGGGTTGCCTTCCAGTCACTAGGGAGCTTTGAAGATATCAAAGATACACGGAATATAATCACAAGATATTTCGCTACCACTTCAGCATATCGGCAAAGAAAGGTGTTTGGAATATTATCAGGACCGCTTGATTTCTTAGTTTTCAATTTTAAGAGCATGGAAAATACACCCGGGTACGAAACAAAGTCGGCCTCTGTCGTGTGAAACGATGGAACATCAGATGGATATACACTTGGGCTAGTAAACACGCTGTAGAAGTATATATTGAAATGCTCAGCTATAGTCTCTTTGTCCGTAACAATAGATTCATTTACTAACATTTCGGATACAGTCTTTTTTTTATCCGTCAAGTGGTACCAAAATTTTTCAGGGTCATTTTTTATGAAGTTTGGGAGAGTTGTTTGGAAATAATAATCCTTAGAAGAACGCACCGCACAGCTTGTGCGAGGCTAGCCTGTAATGGTCCGATTTTAGTCAAATCCGCACGCTTCTTTTTTAGACGTTTAATTTTATGTTTCAAGTGAATAATACTACGCGTTATCCAGGGGGTCTGTTTGTGAGTTTTCTTTTTTCGGCTTGGGACAAATTTAGCTAAACAGTGTTCACACATTTTTTTAAACTGGGCCCAGATAGCGCATACGTCATCATTGTCAAAGTCAACAAGACCGGTCTCCAGATAATCAACTATGAACGCGTCATCTGCGCGGGAGTAGTCTTTGAAAGACCGTACTTGACAGCGTTTCTTATCACCACGTTTCAACAGTGGGACGGAAAGGCCCACAAGATAGTAATCAGATAATCCGGATTCGACAGACACGGTATATTCGCTGAACGCAGGATTGAAAAATATCAGATCTAAAACTGAACTGCAAGACCCTTGTACACGCGTTGGGTCGTGAACCAGCTGGGCCAAATCATGAGTGAACATAATACTAAACATAATGTTAGCATGCTCAACATTCTGGTGACCAGCGTGCATTAATTCCCAATTAATAGTTGGTAGATTGAAGTCACCTACAAGAATAATTTTATGTTTGTGATATTGAGACATATTTTGCTCAAGTTTGCTTAAGTATTTCATGGCATACGATGGTTTACCATTTAAAGCGCCCAACACTGCAGCGGTTTCTTTGGAAAATGAATCCAAATTTTAATACAGGATTTTTATACCTACGTTCCGTCTTTTTCAAACATTGTAGGGGTGTAACACTGATTACTCGCTTTAATTGCGAACGAGGCTCCTGTCCGGGGAGCCAAAAAGTCTATTTCTCACTCTTTTTGGTGGTTGGTGTCTTTTCAATTAAATCATATTACTTCCTGACCAAACGGGCCTCGATCAAAATCTTGAAGGGTCGACTTGTCGGCTAGTTGGGTTTAGGTTATCTTAGAGAAACAGCGTGAAGAACGAGAACGAAACACAACAGCGCTTCGCCTGTTGAGTGTGTGCTCCTGTTGTCCTCGTCCTTCACGCTGTTTCCCTAAGAGAAAACCTTGACTTGAACACTGATTAGAGCACACATTAACAATCATTGTGTAGGCAAAAATTAAAAAAAAAAAAACTTGAAATTATTGCAGGATCGACTTGTCCTTGTTTAATAATAAAAAAATTACTGCAACTGTCAATTAGAGCACTCAATCGGCCAAATAAATCATTAATACCACAGTATATCCCATTTTGTTTAGTCAATGTGTAAAATCAACACAGTCATGCTCAATGTGTTTTTAACACTATATCTCAATGCTGTGAAAAAAAATCATAGTATAGTATTTTCACTCACACCAAACAGTATAGTAAAACAAACATGCTCAGTAATATAGTCTGCCAAGATATGCTTCTCAAGAGAAGAGAAGGTCTCTGTTCTGTTAACAGTGAAGCTGGCCCTTGGCCAGCACTGGTCACATGGCCTTACGGTGTGTGTGTATGGCAAGGCTCAGTAGGAAGGGAACTGGTGTGCTACACCGAGAGAGGTCTGTGAAAGGAACCAATGGGAAGCGCTCCAAAAGCGGCAAAGATGAGGCTTGGCGGAAACCACTACGACGCAATATGCACAACCTGGTGGGGAGGCTCCTCGGCTTGCTAGCGAGTTACCTCCAACAAAATAAAGTAACAAGGGTGCATGCCCACTGGCATTGGATATCTATCGGCGAGACGACGCAACTTCAAGACAGAAAATGTTTCTTGTAGTGCTGCTACAGCAACCAACGTGTTCGGTGGCAATGCCGCCGTTTGCAACCCGTTGCATTTTACTGTCTCAAAAAAATTTCCTATGCACATCTAGCTTTAGTAGTCAGCCTGCCATAGGCACGTTCACTGTTTCGGGAATTCAGATTTCCCACGAAGCGCTGGTTGCTACGGCACCGCCTTTTTGTCTTGATGTTGTGTCATCCCGCCGATAGGTACTCACTGCCTTCATTGGACAGCAGGGCACACAGTGTTGTACCTCACTCGTGAGCTGAGTGAAGTACAACAAACTGTACATTAACCATCGGTGTTATAGCTACAGCGCTGCTCGTGACAGAGCTTTGACATGACCACTTGATGACATCAATGATCCCAACTTGTCACATGCTGTACACAGTGATCCCTCCGCTTGTCCGCTGGTTTATAATCAGCAGTTAATCTGCGATACCTTTCTACCACGCATCTTATATGTGCGAGGGGTAGTGGGCTCAGTGCCTGCAAACTCTGTTCCTCTGTTTTTTACCAGTAATCTCAGTATATAACCAAAGTGTGATGAACGTGATTCTGCAATCGATTCCTGTAACGCCAATGTTGTTTTACTAACCGAAACATGGCTTTCTTCCAAGGTAACAAATATGGAACTGTTCAATTGCAAAAAGAGGTTTAACGTATTTCACTTCAATAGAAGCCGCACATTGGGCAGAGGTGTTTTAATAGCTGCTGCAGATAACTTTGTTGCATCACCCATTAACCCAAGGAACCTAGAACTAGTGTGGGTTGAACTATGTGTACATTTTAAGATAATTTTAGGCACATGTTACCCTCCCCCGTCTTCGTGTTCAACTTTCACTGCCGCAACTTTTCTCGCGCTCCGCTGTCCCTCAAAATTCTATTATACCGATCACTAATTCGCCCAAAGCTTGAGTACGCGTCCGCTATATGGGATCCCGTGCAGCAAAATTTAATTAACGCGTTAGAATCTGTTCAGAACCGCTCAGTTCGGTTCATTTGTTCTAATTATTCCCGTACTGCTAGCATATCAGAAATGAAATCTAACCTTGACCTACCCAATTTAACTGTCCGGAGGAAACTGGCGCGACTGCATTTTTTTCATAAGATATTTTTTCACAATCCATCAATGAAGCGAGACCTCATTTCACAACCGTCATACCACTCATCGCGCATTGATCATCAGCATAAGGTTGCCATTCCGTTTTGCCGCACCAAATTCTTTTCAGCAGCCTTCTTACCGAAAACAGCCGCCGATTGGAACCACCTTCCCTCTTCCGTTGTATCAATAACAGACCCTTTGTTATTCAAGACTGCAATTTCTCAGCAATGCTTGTAACTATACGCAGTTTTCATTATCTATCTTTGTCTTGTATGTGCTTGAATTCTTATACATTTTTAGTTGACTTATGTTGCCTTCCTGATTTGCGCATCTGATACTTGTTTCTTTATTTCGTCTTTTTTTCTTGTGTGTTATATATGTTGTACCCACCCCCTCTGTAATGCCCTACGGGCCCTGAGGGTATTCTAATAAATAAATAAATAAATAAATAAATTGCATGACACACCTAACATGATCTTTGTACATTAAGCCTATCCTATTAGCTGGTGACTTCAACTACCCACTATTGTGTGGAATAGTACAACATCATATCCTGGCCCCTTCTTGACTGATTGGAACAGGCTTTTGAAGGGGCACTAAAAGCGAAGTTATATTTAAACCAGAGTGAAAGCTCAATGTATGACAATGTATAAAACAGCAATATCATCAACAGAAGTGCCTTGCTTACCAAGAAACTAAGCTAAAGGTATCGCATGATGTGTGTCACGACTGGGACATTTTCAAAATGATCTCGATGACAAGAGAGTGTCCGCCTACTATTAATCACTAATAATCAAACTAGCTGCATTAAGAAAAGAACTTCCATTCATCAAGAGACGTAATAGAATGCTGTTCGTCCGTTTCTGTTTGATTTATAGAAAAAAGAACCATAGGGTCTTACAATGGGGAATGGCGCAAGTGGTTCAAAAGTTTAGCTTTCAGCTAGTTAGACTGGATAGGTGGTGCCATAAAGCTGGGCCCAGTTCAACCAAGCAAGCAGAATCATGGCTTCCAAGACAGGAAATCGTTCAATGGCCATTGTTGCTATTGTAGCTTTCGCTACTTTTGCTCTGGTGCTACTTGTGTCAGCAATTGCGTAGTACTGGCAGGCAACACTGGGCACAGGAACAGTGACACTTAAGAGCCCGTAGGTGATTTGAAGTGTGCTATTGCAATGCGGACCATTAAAATGCGATTTTGTTTCAAAAAAAAGCTTGGCACAAAAGTTGCTGGACCGCTTCCCTCTTTCCCCTTAGCCCTGTCAGCATGCCAACCTCTCCTCCTCCTTCTTCTGGACCGTCGTTTCAACAATCAACGCCCACTTAATAAAATTTGCCTCTATTGACCCTTTAATGACAAATCGGGATTTCAACCTGTCACAGCTTGTCTCTGGACCTGCTTGAACTACTTCAACCACATCTAGTATTTAGGACCTCGCTCTAACTAACGTACCATATCTTGTCTCTTTGGTCGTGCATCTATATACCTGGCCTCATTGACCATTCCTTGCTCCATGATGATGTTGAAATTGACGTATGTAAGCATGTTAATCAGACAAAACGTATTAAAGACAGATCTCATTTGGCAGATCTCAATGCCATTAACCATGAACTATCGTAAAATGCCAAGAGAGTGCTCCTCCAACGGTGAAGAGTAATCTGACCAGATTCGGGAGGGGTGCTCTTGCTCAGTCCAGAACCAGTCACTGGTGCCTAATTAACGCTTGTTCCATATCCTCAGAAAATGGGACCAGGGCTTGCTCTGCATGTTACGGTAGGTCTTTTTTTTGATTGAACACTTTCCAGAGTTTTCACTATGTGCAGTCGACACTAAGAGCTTTTTTAAGACACCATTTAATGTCTCACTAATGCTTTTGTGCCATTTAAGTCTTTGAGGTGTGCTTTGAGTTAATATACTTTTAAAGAGACTGTCCAATAACAAGGAATAATTTTTCAACTCTGCAAAAGTGATAATTTTGATGAATTATAAAGTGTGCGCTGGAAAACCTACTTTCTTGTAGCTGCCGAGTACAAAGCCGCATTAAAAAACGCCAGGGACACATTCTTCACCCACACTTCACCTGCTATGCCGATTAAGAATCCTAAACAATTCAGCAACATAATAAATAAAAAGGATACCAACACAGTGTTGCTTACACCTCCTTTAGAGTTTCATTCTAATCAAACAAATGTGCTTCTGTCCTCAACAAAGTTGTTGCTGTGGCTTGTTTAATTGTGACTACCTTGCTTTTGATGCTCCTCATGAACCCAGTTGTTTTTGACACGGAAAGCATTCAGAGCATTACATTATAGAACATTTTAAACTTTCTTTTTCCTGTGGCTTTGACAACATTAATTCCAAATTCTTGATTAATACTATGTCGTACTGTTCCATAACCTTTCCTAAACTGCTCAAACAATCCCTTGAAAGTGGTTGTATTCCCAATGATTGCAAAATTGGGAGGGTGATTCCTTTGCACAAGTTTGGAAAGAAACATTACCCTGACAACTTTCGTCTCATTTCCCTCATTGGCTTAGTGCGTAAAATCATGGAGCATATCATACACTTTCATCGAATCGGATTCCTTTTTCAAGCACAGCCCATGCATGGATTCTGTAAATCATTTTAAATATATAAATTTTTATGCAAAACCTAGCTTATATGTTTTACAATGATCTTCCCTGCATCCTCAATTACGATTTTCAGGCAGACTGCATTTATTTGGATTTTTAGGAAGCGCTCGAACAGCCATTAAAAGCTGCAGTGCAGCAGCACAACTCCATAGAGTAGACGAGTTGTGGCATTTGCATGGCGATTGATTGGATGGCCTCTGAAAAGTGCTCATGTGACACAAGAGTTGCCTGCACTTCCTTTCTCTCCCCTTCTTTTTTAAAACCCTTTTGTAGTCGAGGAGTGCCATCAAGATATATGCATAGATTAGATGAAGGCAGTTAAGGCTGCTTTGACGAAGACAGTGGTGGAGGTGTTGGCTCCAAAGGCATCCCCTGTTCAACGGCCTCTCTTCCCTTCCCCCAATTTATATTTCTACTGACGTAACTGCAGCGCATGTTTTGGTGGGCCACACTACCGCAACACTGACACAATATTTAGCCAAGGCTGACTGAGTTATTGCAAACAGTAAACGGAGTAGTTTGAGTGCTGCTATCGTTTTCATTTTACATGAGCCAGTTGACTATATTGTGAGGGGAGTATGCAAAACCAGGTAAATCAGTCGCATGAGTTGTGCAGCAAACGGCTGTCATGCAGTCTTTCAAGCTTTTTCAAATGACTCGGTTCATGGAAAACATCAACACAAGTGACAACATTGAGACCATAATTCAGTACGAAACAAAGCACTCACGTTTTTGTACAGCTGGACAACTTGGCCCCGCACGGATGCCATAGTGATTCTGCGCAAGACACACAAATGTCAAGACTGGTTTTGCGGAGCTTTGTGTAGACACATTCCTCAGCAAGTTGAACTAAAACGATATCACATAGCCCTAAGTTCAACAGCACATGGATTGCTGTCTTTTCTGAAAGGGTGCAGAGAGAAATAGTGCAGGGTGCTCTTTCTTTTATGTGCAACCCCCCAATTATTTAACCGAAATGCACAAGAATAAATCGCTAAGCTGATGAGCACCGTATAATGAAGCGTAGTAGTAAAATGAAAGAGAATGTCCACAAGCGCACGATGAGCATTCCTGTGCAGTTGTCTTCTGTGTTACGAGTACTGGACATTAGCCCCACTTCTTTTGAGCACCGTTATCATAACTATCTTTTCTTTTTTTTTTGAGCACTGCTTTCAAGTTAAAAAGAAAAGGTCAAGTGGCCGCAGTTGAAATGTATGGCATGAGATATCCACTCGCTGATTATACAACGCACACATCAGCATTTTTTTTCTTGTGGTTTATACATCACCTTTCTAAGGAAAAAAAAAAAAGACACCGGCCACTGCAGGTTAAAAAGAGGACAAAAAAGCAAGTGCGGTTGGGTCTATTCTGCATAACTGCCTAAAGACGAAATCTGCACAGGACTGTGCAGTGCGCACACACATGCATTCTCACTCATTTCATCACTGTGCTGTCATATGGCGCTAACAGATTTGGCAGTCGATGCACCCCCAGGTTTAAAAAATTAGTAGTTGTACTTTTTTTTTAACACGAAACTATTTTTTCATTTAAAAGCCCAACAGAAAATGAGTTCCGTCTTTCCTATCAACAACAAAAGAGCATGAGGGTAGGCCAAAAATAAAAAAAGACAGGGAAGCGTTGTCCAACTAAGGAATCGAACCACTGACTCCGCAACTTTCAAATGCAGATGGCACACGCATTAACCACTTTGCCATAAATGCAGACACATTACATATGCTTCTCTGATAGTTTTCGCTACTCTTGACGAGGATGGCGTTGCCATGTGAAAGTGGTGCAGTGAAGCAGCACACTAAAGTTCTGCAGTAGTGTTTCACTAGCAATGCAGTTTTGCAATGGCTTATTTTCCTCGTTAGATTTGCCTATGACACCTTGTTGGCTGCGATGAGTAGTTTCATGCCATTCATTGCTTACACGTACTACATGTACTGTGTTTACATGTCATCTACTGCTTGCTTTGATGGGTGCTAAATAAGAATACTCGTACGTCAAGTGCTGCAGAAAGGAAGCAACGTCAGTGGGCGACTGTCGTGAATCTGACTGCGTTGATCCAGCAAAACACACGCCAGCACAACACTTTCCGGGGCCCACACCACGAAGCGTGCGCCTCGCATTTATGAAGCAGAGTGCGTAGCAACGTACTGGGGCAGGACACTTGATTACTCACAGCGTAATAATAAACTGTTTAATGAGGCTATGTTAGTATTACACACATGGTAAGGCAATGTTTTGACGTGTCAACGTCCTGGAATGGACTGCCTGACTTCGTTGCGCTATCACTCCGATGCAGAGACGAACCCCAAAATTACACTGTGGTCGACTGCTTAGCTGGTTCCCACTAAGCGAGCACGCTAGTAAGTCACTCACAGTACTGGGCTGCCCAAGACACTGTAAAGTCACATGAAAATGCTCAGCATAAATGTGGCAGCATGTGTCAATACAAGTGCATGCATGTCAAAGCCTGTGACACCGGCTTGATTAATACAATGCATATGATGCAAATTTTTCAATGTCCAATACGCCTGCTGCTACTTCTGCTGAGCACTTTCACGTTATGAGAAATTCCTAAAAAGGAAATTTTATAGAAATGTTCACAAATAGTGCACTTATTGATGGCTTTCTTTATGTGGGCATCGAAATCAACTGTATGCTTAACAAGTAACATTCTCCCTGCACTGGCCAATGTTTACTGAGTAGAGTGAATGCCACTCTGAAGAGTATCTTACGAAAGAGTGAATAGATATGCAAGTTCATAGTCCAGCAAGATAATTAAGGCTACTTTAATATGTTCTCAGCATATTTGAGCGACTTTCTTTCATTATAATTAGAAACATTATGAATGGGAACATTTCTAAACTTCAAATTCTTTTAGGCTTGTTCACAAAAGTTGTGTTGCTTTTCTTGACATATCAGTTAGGGGTGACTATTTGTTCATTAGTGCAACAACATCCAGCCAGCCAATAACACTGGATTGTTAACAAAATGTTTCATGGACAGGAGACAGGGAATCAATGCTTACGAAAGCTTTTTTGTATGGCAACAATGGGCAACATGGTTGAATGCTTTTGAAAAGTGTATGATTATAGTCCGTCCAAAAATTATCAGAATTATGCACTATATTCTTATAGTAAAACCATGCTGGCTCTCAAAAATGAGAAGTGTTTGATCTCAAAAGGCTCACTACATTTGAAACAATCTGAATAGTTGAATCAATCTGAATCTGAAAGAATGCTGGTTAGCGGTGTAGAGTGAGAATCGCAAAACATGTTTCACTGAATGCCTAAGTAATGTCATATGTCAGGCTCTCATGGGCAGTTTACATCAGTCAAAGTAAACAGTGTTTCAATTACTGTGTTCAAGAACACTTTTCAAGAATATTTAGTTGACCAATGTAAAAAGTGCACATGTGTTCCCCTGTTTGAAAGAACGAAATCTATATAAAAAGGTACGAAGGAAAGGACAATTTTAGGGGTCGTTCGGATCCGTGACGACGGTCCCAACTGCACTCTACTATTGGAGAAAGAAATCGGCGTCTTGATATGAAGATTGTGATTAGCAAGTGTGTTTGATGTGCAGACGCTCATCCTGAGAACGCATCATCCAGTTTTCTCGTAATAAACAATTTAGTGCACAGCGAGCTCTTGAATGCACATGACGGCAAGTGGTAGTTTCTACTTGCTCCACATGGCACCCTCCTATATTGCACCACTTACTATGCAAACGAGAAAGCCCCCTAATGTTAGGAGCAGCCACCTGCAAAGAGAATTTTGCGCTGCCATTAAATGTTCTGGCTTTTTGTTCAATGTCGCCATAGACTTTGCAATGCATTGATGTAAGATTACAGTCGTGTTAAAAAAATAGTTTTGCTAAAAAGGATAATTCAGTACCCAGAGTTCAATATAGTCGGGTGCTTGCAGCTTTGCATAATAATTAACAATTCTGAGTTTGAGTGCCAATGTCCTGCTGTGATCATCAGGCATTCCACAGCAGAAAACTTCAGATTAATTTAGACTCACTAGAGTCGTTCTTGCCTTACACAGCCTACAAATTGCAGTTGCTGTCTCGGGGAATTGAGCCACCTTCCTGAGATTTGTTGTATTATACATATGTTGTTTTATTCACACTGTAGCCTCTGAGCTAAACCCTAGGGCACTCATTGCTTGAGCAGCTTTAATCTTCAGCTATTGTAATCTAGGACTGATGTGTATGACAATAGCTATTTTACCTTAACAATTGAACGGTGGAGTGCACTGCCCGGAATCGTGCTCCTTTGGGCCATGACCCCATTTTCTGTCTGCAACCGACATGTCGCTTTGCCATCGACTATGATGGGCTACAGTGTACAGAAATAAACAAACACGTGCTATCCTGTCACTGCGCTTCTGGATAGCGTCGGCTTCTCGCTGAAGGGCCACGAATGCATGCCCATGAAAATGTTCCAATGCAAGTACGATACGTGAATTTTGGTAACGGGCAACCACTATGGAATAATCTGGGTGTGGCTGCCTTCCAGAGGTCAACAGCCTACATCTATAACAGGTACACGTGACTGTTATAACAAAGGATTAAACATTGATATGTGGGGCTTAACATCCCAAGGGGCTCAACATCCCAAAACCACCATATGATTATGAGAGACGGAGGGCTCCGAAAATTTCGACCACTTGGCGTTCTATGATGCGCACCAAAATCTGAGCACACGGGCACACAGCATTTTCGCCTCCACCTAAAATGCAGCCGCCGCAACGCCCCGGAATAAACATAAACTCCACTCGCAGCAATCCAGATTTCGGTACAGACTTCGCCATGAACATGCACGTTTGTGCAGCTCCTTCTGGGTTAAAAAAAAAAAAAAAAAGGCTAGAGCTCTTCCGCACAACAACTAGCTTGACCTCGGCACTCAGCCAAGAGACTAGCCAGAAACGACCGACTCTTACTTTCCACTGTGTCTGAGAGCGAGTACTTTCGCTTTGAACGACTTAACTGGCGCAGGCGCACATCTGTGGGAGTTACTCTTAGCGAGAACAGTACACTTGCAACTGCAAACAAAACGGAAGCTTTCATGCTCACGCCGGCACCATAAGCACGATCTATGGAACAGTTCTTCACCACGAACTAGCCACCCGCTGCAGCATCAGAAACGCGGTCAACCTCTAAAACGATACGCAATAAAATCGTTTAGATAGTGAAATAATCATGAACAGTATGAGCAGCAGTAAAACACCGTAAAATATACGCGAGATTTCGAACAGTCGCGGCAGTGCGCAACAGGGCCATTGCACCGCGTGGTCTAAAATTGCCGGACGAACACGGTGTGCGAGAATGCTCACGTGAGAGGTCACACATGCGCTGGCCTACGTGACAGACCACGCCGCGAAGGTGGCGGCGTCGTTTGTGCTCGGATGGCTCGCTGGCAAGTGCGCTGGCGGCACCGGCGACGAGGAGATCGAGGGATCATCGACAGTAGTACAGTTGCAAGCGAGCGACGTTCGCACACACGCGCCGATAGCCACGACGCACAGACGACTCCGATTACGGCGAGAAAACACCGCCGACCTAAGCTGACCACACAAGCTACACACCGCTGTTGAACGATGGACACTTCAGTGGACGCAGAGCATAGAGTTACGAAACTAGGGTGGTATCACGAAACCATCATCTCAATTTGAGGTAGTTTGCTTGAAGTAACTAGACCGATAATTTTTACGTTAATTTTTATGAAAACTTTTTATGTTTTTATATTACAAGACTTTTAGGTAGTTGTTGGGTTTATAGTGACGATGATGATGATAACCAGCTTTTTGCTCGCGTTTTCTGTTACCTTTGGAAGCTCTAAGTTATGCCGTTATGTCCAGCACCGTGAGGGCTCTGTGGCAGGCCGTCGCTCAAGCATCGAAAGCTCTGCAGCTTGAGTCCTTCAAGAGAGTGACGGTCAGAATCGATCCTTTTCACAGCAATGCGACTGCGGTCAGGTGGGTGGCATGGCCGCACGGAGCGACGACCTTCAGTCAGTTTCATCGTCCCGTGCTCCAGAGTTTTCATTCTCTCCTGCAAAGGTGCTTCGCGAATACTCATCTTCTGCTTGGTCATAGAAGGAAGCGCGTTTAATGTTCAAAAGGCATAAATATGTTTTTAAGGCAGTGATAAAATTAATCCGATTTGCACCTTTACTCTTTGCCGCGTAACATTCCATTTGTGATCAGACAAGCGACCGTAGACGCCAGACTCTGCCCAGGCGGCGCTGCGAAAAACGCCGCCACCAGCGGTCTCAGCCCCGCGCTGGCTATAATTGGGTAGTGCAAACAGAGTGTTCCGCAAGCGAACCTGCATAGGCCCTCCTCTTTGTTTGGTGTTGAGGCGCGGTTTCCTGAAAAGCAAGGACCTCGCAAGCTTCTTCCGTATATTCAACTTCGCTTAAGAAAAGTAGGAAGCTCATCAAAGCACACTGCGGGTACAATGGAAAAAAATGTTTCAGTTATTTCGGCGTGCTGCAACTCGCAATTTAAGTGCAAGCGAGCATCGCATGCCATCAAGTTCGAGGCAAGCACGCCGACGTGCGTTTTGTTGCGCCTAAGAGCGTTAAATTCAGGCATACACATTATGCCTAAGCGAAGGAGTGCACACACAAGCAATGTATCGTACGGTCAGTGGTACGAAGCTTGCTTTATCAGGCATGAAAGGCCCCGCCGATTTTCACCTTTGCAGGTGAATTCTCCAACCATCTCTCGCTTCCTGTGCCTTGAACTGTTTTTTTATGCATCCTAGAATGTTCTGTTGATGCTTGCCTTCTGTTTGTATACTCTGCAAATGGGAATACTCTATTTACTCGTATAATATTTGCACTTTCTTTTTTTCAGGAAATCCGGCTCAAAGTTAGCGGTGCGCCAATTACGCGGGGTAAAATTTTCGATAATGTTTTGACGGTTCTTGCGCTTTAAATCTGCACATTTGTTAAGTAAAAGGCGGCTTTATCATTTACCAATTAATTCAACATAAAATAAACATACCTACGTACCTTAGAAATGTGGCAGCTTGGGCTAGTTGGTATGGCATGACGATAGTTATAGCTCGAGAACAAAACGACGACGCAGAGATTTTCGTGTGTCGTGTCGTGTGTCTGTGTCGTCGTTTTGTTCTCGTGCTATCGCTATCGTCATACCTACGTACCTTTTAATCAACAAGCAAGAGCCGTCAACTGCACACGTAAAATTTATTTACACAAAAGTCGTAGGTGTTCCTTCTTTTCTCTATTTGGAGTCCAAGTCGGAGAGCACATATTCATTCTCGCCGAGCGGATATTCGTTTTCGTTGTCTGAACCATCCGCACCCCACAACATGTCATCCTCACGACTTCGTCAGATATTGCCTTCCACGATCCAAGCGCACAGCATTTTCACAGGCGACCTCTTAATCTTGCCACCGGGAGTCAGCTGATGTTGTCCTCTAGCCATCCAGGTGGTGTACAGCCTTCGAACATTGTCCTTGAAAGGCTTATTCAAGGACACATCCAAAGGTTGCAGTCATGATGTGAGGCAACCCGGAATCACTCCCAGATTTGTGCGCAGCTCCTTCGGCTCATCTTGTACGCAGTCTACCAGGTGTCACGAAAACTGTTCAGGACAAGCATGGACGGGAAAAACAGACCACCCGGCCGCCGACCCCAGACTGTTTTCACCCAATCCACCATGAGTTTCGCGCTCATCCAGCCTTTTCAAGACATTCTGACGACGCTCCGTGCACCTTTCTCCTCCACTGTTGTGTTCTGCGGCATATCAAAGCAAAGGGGGGTATCATCAGCGTTGCCGATCTGGGACAAAATGAAGTCTTTCTGCTATCGGAGCTTTATAATGAAACGGTGGAAGTCCACCACTTGGTCCTCCTATGCTGCGGGCAAGCGCTGGCACAAGGTGATCTGCCTTTGCAGTGCGAGGTCATGGCGCCGCATGAAACGAGTTGTCCATCCCTAGTCTTTTGCTTTGATGCGCTGCACTCGGGCTATTCTGCGTGCCTCAGTCTGCCCAATATCGAATGACACAGCACAGCTGTCTTGTCGTAGCTCCCGTATATGCCGGACTAGTACTTCTTTGACGTTAGGATACTTGCCAGTTTTTCTTCTTGATCCCTCTAGTACCGAATACTGCTTTCTCGAACACGGAAATGCCTGCTTGCAGCCCGGTTGCCGTGCTCTAGCGTGTACTGCACTGCCTGCAGTTTAAATCTAGCCGTGTAGCTTGTGTACTTTCCCATGGTAGAATCAAAATTGAATACACGACCACAACGTACGCACACCACTTGCGAAATGGTCTTTCTTTCTTTTTCTCTGATGGTTGTGATGGCGATCGAGCCCCCGGCGTTGTACACGTGACCTCCAAGGAGCGCGGCTATTTGGGGGGTATCAGTAATTGATGGAACAGCCGTTTTTTATTCGTTCATGGACGTTTTTTTTTTAAGTTCTATTTGGACAAACACGTTGGTTAGGCACTTTGAGTTTTTTTTATTTGCTCGTCGATTTACCTTCTTTTTTTTCTTCAGGGTACGGGGACCACGTTCAAACTGTACTACTGGGGCGTAGAATCGTTTCTGATCAAGGCCAAGTTTGGGGTGCGCCTATTATGTGCGGAATTAAAAAAATTGAATTTTCTGTGACCAAACTAAGGGTGTGCTTATCATGCGAGTGCGCCGATTATGCAAGTAAATACACATGCATGTCTACTTTCTTTGATGTACAACGAAAGGGGAAACCGATGCTTCAGAGATAGCTCCGGCAATCGTGGAGACCAAAGGCAAGAAAAACCTGATTGTGGTCACGACCAACATTTTGCAATTTACCGTTATGACATACATGTTAGCATTTTGTGGTGTCGCAGCTTGGAACGAAGAACAGAGCGGGGGCGCCACATAACACAACATGAAGAATGATGCTTTATTTTAGTATTGATGGATGGAAAGTTCTTTACTGAAAAAAAAAGGGGGGGGGGGGGGCAGGCACAGAACCTCTGTGGGGATAAGCAGGACTTTCTTACTACACCACTAGTTCACAGTGTCGCGGGTTTTACACTTATTGTATTCACCATCACTGGTTCTGAGGCGATATAGGGTCAGTACTGTAGTTTGTCGGACCCCCTAAACTACTCTCATCAGGCCGCTTTGACTTCCATATTGGGCAAATAATAACTGCGTGTCTGGGTCCGTAAGGAACGCTTCACGATAATTTGTGGTTTGCAAAGCTTGTATGGCCATTCGCCCTTTTTCGAATGCGGAACACTGCCACATTAAGTGGTGAAGGTCTGCGCGGCAGCGCAGCCTGCAGTGATTGCACGTCACTGTCGCAATGTCCCGTTGTCGCCATTTTGCTAAAGAGTATGGTGTATATGCAGAATTCGCGTAGACCTTATTAATGAAAACTTCTAGGGAGCATGAAAGTGGACATTTGCTGGAAAATAGGACTGGTGGGGTTCATCAAACATATTGTAACGCGGACTGAAAGAGCGACGAAGAAGAGATCGGAGGAAGAAGAGGGACTTTGCCAGAAGTTTCTTTCTAAGTACTCAGGACCATTCGTCATTATTCAGTGCCTAAGTGACATCACTTACGCTGTTGCGAAAGTGACAGCTCAGAACCGGCGTTCACGCAAGCCGCAAATTGTGCACATTGCCCAGTTGAAGCCCTACAACAACTGATCGCTTCTACTCGCTCGGTGAGCTTCGTCTGGCCCGGAGGGAAATGTAACGCTGACTGAAAGAGCGAGGAAGAAGAGATCGGACGCTCTTGAGCGATGGTGATTCGGCAGTGACGGTAGAGCGCTGACATTTTTCAGTGTAAATAAACCCATCACATCCGTAACAATATTTTGAAACTGAGTTTGCATGGTATCAAGGGCTTGTGTTATAGTGTTAACCATTTCCGACCGAATCGCATGCTCCAGCTTATTAGATTCTTGAGCCCGTTCTTGTTGCAGCAGCCCAATAATGTGAGAGTAGGCAGAGATCTTGTCTGTGACCGGTTTAGAATGACGTGTCGGAGAATGGCTCTTTATTTTATTTCGAGACCGACTGCGGCTTGGCGTTGGGGACCGATTCCCATTCTTTTGGTCCAGCATGAGGTCGCGAAGTCTCTGATTTTCCTGCCGTAATTCCTGTACTTTTTGGCAAAGGCTCTTGATAAGCTGAGTCAGATCGGAAGAAGCGGCTGTTTGAATTCAGGTTACTTTCCGAGGCGTCGGAGGGGTAGGCTGTGTGTCGTAGATGATAAATCATTAGTGTTGCGAGGAAGGGCTGATTCAGATATATTTCATTCAGGACAATGAGGGCTGAGTGAAATGTGTGTGGACGCTCCACAAGCCACGCAATGAGGAAACTGCTTACAGTTTGGGTCGACCTCATGCGGAGCTTTGCCACAGTCACGGCATACTGGCGAGAAGGAACAGTATTTGGCAACATGGCCCAAACGATGACCGTTGTAGCATGCGACCAGGCGAGGCCTATATTCGTGAACACGGATGACTTCATATTCAAACACCAAGCGTTTCGGTATGGAGTCTGTATCAAATGTCTAAAGCAGCAGCTGTGTTTTACCGAGCATGCGCACATTGGTGATTGTTGCCTGTTCACAGGGCAGATGCGCTTTGATGTACTCAATTCTTAGGCCGGGTCTGATCTTTATTACCCCACGAAAGCTGCCGACTGCTTGTGGCTGAAGAGGCGATATGTCGACATAAATTACTCGCACGCTACCATTGACTGTTGCCACTAAGCGCCAGAGTGTGTATAGTTTGCGAAAATGACCTTCGTCACGAAGTGTGATCTGTACGCAGCTACTGGTTATGTCAAAGCAGAGAATTGACATTTCTGCAATAAACGTTGACAGAGCACTTTGCTCTATGGCGTCTGTAAGGGCTTGTTTTAGAATGTCTGTCACATGCACTTTGTTTAGCGGCCTGATCAAAACAGTATAGCGGGGCCGACTCACCCGTTCTGCGTGCAGTCTGTTCGGTGACACTTGGCGTCGGTAGTACACGGCGTTATTCTTTTGTACCTCGTTGTCGAGAAGTTCAGTA